ATGCTGAGATTGACCAATCAGAATCAGTGGAAATCTGTGGTAAAAGAAATCTGTCTGTAAAGGCCTACTTATCACAATCTTCTCAGAAAACTAAATATACTTCTTGTGAAAATGTCCTCATATTCCTTAATCCTGCAAGACTGTTTTCTACAGTTTTAACCCTATGTCTATCACAGTTTCCCATTCTCACCTTCAGTTCTCTAACCGTTCTCTGAGTTCTCTGGGCGCTCGGAACATTCAGTTACTGTCACTTTGTTCTTTCGTGTGTCTGTGTGACGTGCGCTGGGATGTATCGGTGTCTCCAAATGCCATTAAACATTCACATGTTCTTTATTTCACAGCTATTACGGTAGGCTCATGTTTCATTCAACCCTCCTCTGACCACAAGTCATCATTCTACGTTGGCATTCAAGATCATCGTTAACAGATGTCTGGCCTTCACAATATGAATGACCAGTTGAGTAAAATCAACCCTGTTTTCTCCATTATGCTTGTCCCACATGTTTTTTCAACTAAACGCTCTTTTGATGTGAATGAAAACTAACAATTCAAATGTTTCTTTTTGCTATACAGTATGAAAGTCACATTAGGTAAAATTTTGACCATACCTTTAGTTTCTTTTAAAATATAGATTGTATTCTTTTGCGCTTGTCGCAGGCCCAGGCTTTCAGTCATAAAATTTTGAAATCATAAAACAAATTGTGAAAAAATAAATAAAATATTATATTTTAAAAACTATGATAAAACGGTATAAATGGAAATTATCATTTTTCAAGACAAATTAGTGTTTTTTACCAATTTATTTCCAAAATGTTTTAAATGCCACCATCATTAAAGACAATCCATATTTTATATTTGATAGAAATAATGGTCACACTTTAGATAAGAGTCCAATACACACTATAAACGAACTATTAACCACAACTTTTGCCTCAATAAACTTGTAATTACTGCTTTTTAATTATTAGAAAGATAGTAACGTGCAAAATAATGCATTTATGATTTTTAACTAATAAACAACCAATATAATATGCATGCTAATAAGCAAATAGTGAAATAGTGAGTGAAAATTAATAGTGAAAATTGGACCTCAAACTAAAGTTATCTAAAGTTAGTAAAGTCATCAAAATAATGAAACAAACATATAAGGCGTGTGCTCTTTTGGAAATAAGTGCACTCATTTGTAAAAATATCTATAAAGTATTTTATAGGCTACTTGTATAAAGTATGATGTTATATTAAAGAAATAAAAGGCCACTTAAAAGATAGTTCACCCAAAAAAGAAAATTCTGTCATTGTTTACTTATCGGCAACTTGTTCCAATTTAAACCTGTATGAATTTCTTTCTTTTGCTGAACACAAAAGATGTTATTTTGAAGAATATGATTAACCCAACAAGTTAATGGACCCCATTGACTTCCATAGTATGAAAAAATACTATGGAAGTCAATGGCTACCGTCAACTATATGGTTACCAACATTCTTCTAAATATCTTCTTTTGTGTTCAGCAAAAGAAAGAAATTCATCAGCAGAAGAAAGAAATGATGAAAGCATTTTCATTTTTGGGTGAACTATCCCTTTAAGTTTAATTACACAGTAGATTTTCTGTTTCTTTGACTGTTTTTTCAGTACACTTTAACTTAATTTAATTTGTAACAATGTCAACTTAAGATTTACATGTACACGTCAAATAATTATTTATTAAACTCTAGTAGTCGTGATTTACATATAAAACATACGAGCACATGTAAAGTACTTATAATTTTAACTGTAGAGTTATTTGAAATTACATTTGAAGTTAATATAGAATGTTTTAAATTTACTCGTTGCAAATGTGCATAAATCCTATACTTAGGTAAGTTAAAAAGCGCTCTTAAGTTCAACTAATTGCATTTAAAATAAACGTAAACATGCATTTACTTATCCACGGATGCACAGTTGAAGAGGCACTAAAAGCTATCTCTGACTTTAGTAGAAGTGAGACACAGAGATTCCCTTCTCTCACTCATGTGATAAGGGATCAGTGTTTATAAGTTAGAGGGTATCCCATGCACAGTGATCTCACCCCCTAAAAAGCCTCCGGAACTGATAGAGCGCTCTGAGGGAGGGATGGTGGTGGACAGACAGAGGCTGAGCTCAGTCAAACAGGAATGACGCAAGGAGTTAGTGCTGCATTGTTGAGCCCCTAAGCCTAGAAATGTCCTGAATCAGGATAGCCCAACTTGTTTGGGGAAGGGCCCACAAGAAGCAGGCTGTTCCAAATCACAAAGACTTACATTGAAAGAGGAACCTGAACATCTTGTAGTTGTGTGTGTTTTTTTTTTTACATGACCACTGTAATCACCTAGCATTGCCCTAGCAATGTCCTAACAACCAACCACCCAAGAAACTGGCTAGCCATGTGCTAAATGTGCTAGCAACCAGACTCATGGTTGGGTATCCTAAAATATGATTTTGTACATCTTATATATATATATATTTACTTGCAAGAATGTAGCCCCTACCAAACTTGTACACGCCGTTTAGACGATAGCTAACCATCAAAAACTAGAATATCATTTACTAGCTACCAGATTGATAATTCGCTACTCTACTATCATTACTTGATTCATGAAGATAAACGGAGCATAAGATCGCTTCCGTAACATAGTGAGGCAGACAAAAAAAAACAAAAAAAAAAAACAGAGATAGTGTGCAAGCATTATACTTCCTAGTACAAAAGCATGACAGTGAAGTGCATCGCATGACTAAAACATTTGGCTCGTATGTCCGATTTTAAGGAAGTGGGGGTGGTGGTGGAGGTACATATATGCCGTAAAGCAGAATTTTGTAGTTCTCTTTGTTCGCCAGTTACTACCCGAAACCCGAACTTTAAAAGTACGATTAAAAACGCTACATACCCCGTCAGGCTATGGCAGACGTGTCATTCAACCTATTGTAAGTCGATGTACCATCACAAGAGACTTGAAAATATATTATGAAGGTTGAAATGTTACTTGGTGTTACTTTAAGCAAAATTTTTAATTTTACATTATAAGAAAGTGCACTTTTAATAGTGTTGGTATTGGTAAGTGTTTTAAGAACCAGCCATGAAAGTATACACTGTTATTTCATCATATTAGCATTAAATATATATATATTTAATTATACTTTTAAGATTTGAAGTACTCTACAAGTCCACATAACTGCAGTTAAGTGCACTTTTTCCCACAAGGGATTGGAGACTGTGAAAACAGAGATTAAAGAGATTGTGCGGCAAAGTAAAGGGATGTAATTTAAAAAAAAAAGCATTTCAGAAAAAAAGAAACCTCAGTCATCTTTCAATAACACAGCATGTGTTTCATCCCTCAGACCTTTCCACACGTTGGCTTTGTCTCCCTCCCACGAAGAACAGAAAAAGCTATAAATCGTAAAGACTAGAAGACTTAGAATGACATGTTATTCAAAGTGTAAGTCCAGCTAAAGTCCCAAGTGTCTGTTAACTCTGACTCTGGCAACTCACAGTCTACATGCTTTTTCAGTGGAACAGAGGGAGTGTGAGACTTGTGGGGGCAGGAAGAGAAGAGTCTAGAATCCGAGTATTTTAAACAGTCTTCTGCTCTTCTGGTTGGGCCGCTACATAAAAGTGGTCCAGCAGGTTTTAAAAGAGTCAATGTCCAAGAGGACCTCAGGGACCGGCTTTGCAAATTTTCCCAAGACCACTTAGCTTAAAGTTTGGGAATATAATGCTGAACGTAGTGTCCATTATTGTTCACACAATCTTAGATTGCACACAGGGTGTGCAATCGCAGATGTCACATGGCAGAGATCCTCAATCCTCCTCCTTGAGGTCTTCGTGAAGAACAGAGTTCAGTTCCAGCACATTCTACTTTTAGTCTTTTAAGGCAGCTGTTATGGTATTCTTGTGATTGTGATTCTTGTATTGCTAGGTAGTTTCAAAGGGTGGATGATTGCTAAGCTGTTGCAAGATTTGTGCTACGGTGTTGTTGGTGGATTATAGGGTGTTGCCAGGGTGCTCCTAGTGGTTGCTATGGTGTTTGTAAGTGGTTTCCTGGATTTTAGGTGTAGGGTGTCCAGTGTTGCTAGCTTGTTGTGGATGGTCGCTTGGGCAATATTAGGTTGCTAGGGCATTGCTAGGATTGTTATAAGTGGTTGCAAGGGTGTTAACAGGAAGTTCTGAGTGGTTGCTTGTGTCTTTCTGGGTAGGTTATTGCTAGATTGTTGTGAATTGTTGCTAGGGTGTTGCTTAAGTAATGATTTTGCTAGTTTGTTGTGGTTGTTTGCTTGGATGATGATAGTGTGTTGCTAGGGCATTGCTCGGGAGTTCTGGGTGGTTGCTAAGGTGTTGCTATGTGATTGCTGTGTTCTAGCTAGGGTGTTGTAAGTGGCTATTTAAGTGTCGATAATAGAATTCCTACATACAACAGTCATCCGTCAACTATACATATAGTTGACGGATATATATGTGTGTGTGTGTGTGTGGGTGTCTAAATTCATTTTCCAAAGTTAATGGATAATACAATATGACTATTATTTAGCACTCTAACTGATACCATAGCTAAAGCGATCATGACACATCAATGGTGTCTTTACAGTGGAAAAGTTGTGCCCAAAAACAAATGTGAAAAAAGGAAGGCAAAAAGCAAAAAGAAACAACAATAAACAGATCAGCCATTCCAGAGAAGACTTGTCCTTGTTATTGTAGCCTAATCCAGCTTGAATAAGGGATGTCCCAGAGATAACCAGTTAAATAGTGAAAAAAATAAAAATAAAATAATCCATGTTCAAGGTTTGGGCAGACTGGCACCAGAGAGCTTGGCTAAAATCAATCTGTACGGTGTTGTGAATAATGGTATTTTAATCTATGGTATCAAAATCACATATCTTTGATTGTCATCAACTAATCCAAATCTTCAAAAACAAACCCAGTTGTTTGCATTCCAACAGGTTATGAATGCCTGCATCTATAGGTACTGAAGCAGGAAAAGTTTTTGCTTACCTTTAGAGGTTTCACTACTGGCTTGAATCTGTTTGGCTGCAACGCTCTCTCTAGACCGCACACATGGACCTCCTGACCTAGTTTGCCCATTGCTGAGACTCCTCTTGCGTCTGCTGCCCTTGAACCAGCTAAAAGCCCGGCCCAAGGATGAACCCCGTTTCTTCTTACTGGCCTGTAGGGCCAGGATCTCAGTAATGTCCTTGGGCACCAGATCCCCTGTAGAGTTGCTCCTGGACATCCTTAGACCAATGACCACCGATCTCTGACCCAACTGCTCTCGTATTCCTCTCAAAACACCTGCCTCAAAATCAAAAGTGAGAGAAACATTTCAACATTTGGATTGCTTAAAAAAAGGAAGAAAAGCATGAGAAAATGTTATGTGGCTCAATGACACTCAAGAATGTAGAAGAATAAGTAATATATTTTTTTTAAATCTAATTTAAAACGTGTTTAGAAATTTGGTTTTGAAAATAAAGTTATGTATTATCCCTCCACACGTGAAAAAAATCTTGTGATACAGTATATATTTTCAATTAAATTACTGGAATGAATTACTACTTCATAAACATCTGTACGTTTTTGGGTTGCACCACATGACGTTTTACAACCTGATCTAACCTTACCATGCCATAGAATCGACAAATTATTTTTTATTTTAAGAGACTTGTTGATCTTGACACAAGTATGAGAGTCCTAGAATTTTCTGTTTTATGCTTCCATATTTGTATGTTGGTTGCACCACATGACTTTGATTTTGGTGGATGAAAGTTTTAAAATGACAAATAAACAAAAAAGTTTTTTTTGTTGCTAAAATGTTGTTTTTTCTAACAAACAACACAACCTAATCCTAACCATAACCCATCAAATCAGACAGGTTTAAAATAATGTTTAATCTACAATCTCAGTCCTAACCCAAAAATCTGTTTGGAATGTTGTTCTAGGGCCAACCAGGAACAGCAATACTGATCCAGGAACATGCCCTACTTGGCAAAATCACAGTATCACAGTCTTTTTAGTATCAAAATCGCAGTACACTTGTTCCAAGTTCAATCCCTCCCGAGCAAACCTGGGTCAAGGGCACAGTTCGGTAATTGAACCCACAATGTTTTATTTACCAGCCCAGATCTTTAACCCGTACGCCACACTTCAGTGTAGTAGAAGAAATGGCCTGAAGTCAGCAACCAGTTCAGCCCCTGTGTCTATATCAGGTGTACCCATAGAAACAGGGAAATCTGAGAAAAGTTACAATTACTCCCTCTCCAAAGACGCCTGACATGTGTTTCGTATCAAGCACTTGCACGTCTCGTTTCAGCATTTACTTGCAAATGTAGCGTCTACTGTACACCCTCATTCCCTGAAAACCTTTATTCTCACTAAGCCTTCTAATCTAGTCATGGTGTGAAAACTGGAGGTATGAGAGACAAAACAAAAGTAGAAGGGCGTGTGAAGAGTTCCTCTCTTTCTCTCTCTATCTCTGAGGAAATATGCAGAAGTAAACTCCACTATTCGCAACTCACCCACAAGAGCTTTAGCTTGTTAGAACTGACCATGTGTTCTGTGTTTGTCTCTCAATTATTCCCTTTTTCTTTCTCTTTGTATTGCAGAGATGAAAGATACATCCTTAAGACACCTCATTGCGGTAACTTGACCAGAAACAAAATCTCTGGATGCAGTAACACATATACACACATGTAAGAAGATACTCAAACTCAAACTCATACTCATCAACTTACAAAACTACAGCTTGCAACTAAAAACAGTTGTCACATTCACAAACACATTTTTTACATTGTTACAAGTGTACAAAAACGCCAGAGGGTACCTTGCTTTCCTTTCTTGCGTCCTTTTGTCCGTGTTTCTCTGTGTGTGTCTTGTCTTTGCTGCAGAGCTGTTTTGTACTGTTTATTCAGCTCTTTTTGGGTGAGTGGAGCTCCATGCTGGCCAGTCCTCCCCCTCCTATCTGTTTGAGTCGCTGGTCACCATTCAGCGCAGTGCGGAGAGGAACTGCAGTTCACACGTGTATTCCACCCAACTATTTCACAGTGACAAACTGGCTCCTTCCCTCCCTGACTCTCTCCTCCTCCTATCTCTCTCTCTCTCTCTTTCTCACGCTCTCACCACAATGTACACACGGTTTCCCTCCTCTCCACCTTCACTTATCACACTTAGACATCGTCTACCCACTCCTCCTGTTTCTCTTTCATATGCATGCACTGTTGGTTTTGTTAACTATCTCAGAGGTGATGGAGAGACACTATCCTGTCCCGTCTTTGGTTTAGAAGCACTTTGGCATGGAGCCAAATGGCTGATCACTGTGTCAAACATATGAAAAATAAACCAGCGCTGCACAGGCCACATGTTCATTATGAGCTACAGGTGATTTATAAGCTCTGAAACCTGAGATGTAGCATGTCTTCCGACATGATTGACATGCTTAGAGAGAGACATGTAGACCCTGCTGAGCGAGTCTAAAAGAATGGAGAAACTAAAATGAGGGAAAATGTCTCATTTTCGAATGCATTGTACCTATATTGGATCATAAAAGTATTTAGAGATTTCAGACACACTTATGAAAGTATGGATTTCATTACATCAGATAACAAAAACATAATATATCATTGATACTAGGGTTACTCGGTTAGGAGATCTGTGTGAACTTGAGGGGAACTGACTTCTTTCATCACCTTTAGACCAGCTGGTTAAAGTAACGGCATGGTACGGTCCGGTACGGCTCACTTTAAATTGTACCTGGTCTGTTGAGGTTCCAAGCGTACCGTACCGGTACTAAATGTGACGTGAAACACTGCAGATCACTGATTGGTCAGACAGAATCGTCAGTACCAGCGTCATTGTATTGCGACCAATAGACATCGCCACGAGAAACCAAACCCGCTAGATTTAAAAAGCCAGTAACAGCCACCGCTGTTATCGATCAGTTTATACTCCCACCCACTTTAAAGCGGTACTAACTGCAGTGGAAAAGCAACCGACCTAAAGCGAACCCAAGAGCCGTGCAGCGTCAAGCTGAGTCATACCACGCAGTGGAAAAGCGAAGCGAGCTGAACCGTACTGAGCCATACCAGCAGTGGAATAGCGCCATATGGTCAGTTGTGGGAAAATGTCTAGGACTATTTGTTTCCAGATGCAATATTTTTATAAATTGTATTCACTAAAATAGTTACATCCATGTATGCTCTACATTCAAAGAGTGCCCAAATACTTTTTGGGGCACTATCTACCTTAATGAGGTCTTGTAACCAATGTCACAGTTAGATAAGGGGTATGTGCGGGGACTTATAGCTCTTTAACCTCTTTTAGGAACTTTCCCTTGAACTTTGAGGGCTTGGTTGTCGTGAATTCGCTATTTTCGTTTTTAGAAGCCATAGAAAGAAGGCTAAGAATAGCGGAGCTAATAGTGATGTCATGTCCCGTGGGAATCGATGGCAAGGGATCTGTTACCGTGCTCATATGGTTTCATTTTGCATCCTCGCTGACGGTGAGTGAACTCAAGAGATGTGAGCACTGCCGCTCAGACAACATGCTCTGAGCTGATGTTTCCTGTCTTTTGCTTATGGTTTTGTGTTTATTGTGCATGCTATATGGACTAGCATATTTATTAACTTATTATCCTACAGTATGAGATGCATTAAACTAATCAAAAGTGACATTGAAGACATTTATAGTGTTACAAAAAATTATATTTCAAATAAATTCCATTCTTTTGAACATCAAAAAAATCATTTCTGCAAAAAAAAAAAAATATTAAGCAGCACAGCTGTTTTCAACATTGATAATACTAATAAGAATTGTTTCTTAAAGCACTAAATCAGCATGATTTTTGAAGGATCGTGTGACACTGAAGACTGGAGTAAAATTTTAGGAATGAATTACATTTTTAAAAACATTTTTTTTAAATAAAAGTATTTCACAATGTTAATGTTTTTACATACTACTCAAAATTAATTGTATTAGTACTTGTATCTAGTGTGTTTTGTGCATTTACAACTATTATGATTTGTATTATTTACCAGTATGTTTAAATGAGGTTATCTTGGATTTTTGTAATAGCATTAATCTTAGACTTGAATGAATTTGCTCTACCTGATTTATTCCTATAGTATGCTACTGTGAAACTGTGAGGCTCCTGATTTGTCTTGTGGGATTCTTCAGACATGTGTCAAAAGTGTCCTGTCAATATTTACTTGAGTGTCTCACAAACGATCCAATTTTAGGTTCCTTTTATCTAAAACCAAAAGAGAGACAGTCAATGTCTTGGAAATGCAGCATATTATTACAACCTATGCAAAGAAATAAAGCCTTATTATCAGGTACAACCCTTCATGATTTTTTTTAAAAATGTGTTGTCAATGTATTTTCCACCACGCCATGGCCATTTGTGGGAAGATTTAGTGACTTTGAATGTAAACAGAGATAAGGGAGACGTGTGTCTGGATACCAGGACGACTCAATATGATCTGTAAACACGAGACTGCTTATTCTCAAAGCTTGTTTGACTTTCTTTCTGCTTTGAAAAACACAGATGGAGTACCTCGGGCCCCTGGCCCCCTTGCTCTGGGTTGAGCCAGATATGGTCCAGTAAATCAGCGCTATCTAGGGATCACAATCTGGATCCCTTTTCAATGGTCATGGAGTGAAGATACATGCACACTTTTTTTTTCTCAGACAACCACAGATCATATATCATATGATATAATGTATCATACATGATCATTAAACATTGCAGGACTACAGAGTTCATGTGTCCTTTCAAACAAGGCTAAAAGATGGCATGGATGTTCACTCCTTTGCATCGTATGTGAGAGAGAGAGAGAGGGGGGAGAGAGAGAGAGAGGACCTGTGGGGGATTGGGCGGGGTTACTATGACTCAGACTTAAATTCAGTCCCTCCGAACACATTGAAATGTTTAAATGTTGCTATAGCAACTATGGAAATTCTCATTCTTTTGCCTTCACAAAAGCCTCAGTGTTTTGTTGTGAAAGCATGGAGCTCTGGCAGCGGGTATATTTCAAGTACTATACACAATCATTTACCACTAGAAGACACTCAACCTTGCCAGATTCTTTGATCATTGGATTGCATTGGGAAAATGGAACATTTCCTCATTCCCAACAAAGATAAATCAAGCCTTACTCGTGGTTACCAAGAGTAGCTTTGTGAAAAACATTTATATTTAGTTTTAACCAAAGCAACATCCAAATGAAGAAAGTATAAGCAATTTATCTCACAGAAGCCAACAAAATTATTAACTTAGTTTTGTTGCTTCATGCCATGTAGTTAGCCTCCAATAAAGACGCCTCCACATACATCCATAAGTTTCAAAACATGGATCGAAATAAGTATATATACTGTACTGATAATGATAGCAATGCCAATGTTATGGATTAGATTCACAGGCTATAGGTTTCCATGCATGAACTGATAATATGCAATCTAAATCACTTCGGGTAAAAGTGTCTGCCAAATGCATAAATGTAAATGTTAACAAATTAACAAGTGTATAGAGTACATTCATCAGTGACCATGAACATTATAGGAGTTCACAGCGGCAGTTCAGATTCAATCTGTGAAAGCTTGTTCCACTACAGGAGAACAAGTGAGAATGAAGGTCAAGGTATGGGTTATTAAGGTTTAACTACCCTTAGTTTCCTGTTCTGACTACCACAACCCAGCTGTGATGAATATCCTAACAGTTGGTCAATGCTTTCTACCAAACAACAAGCATTCATGGTTGTCAAGGATTTTTAAAGGCCTTGGGTTGTTTTCCGCCTTCCATGTCTTCTCGAGCTGTGAAGCTCTGAAAAATGTAAAACATTTTAAAGATGTAAAACTTTAAACATCATCCTTATGTGTATAGAACTTTTGAATCAATATTTTCATTGATTATAGATTGATTATTTATTTCGATTTTTTATTTTTAGTTATTTGTTTAAATATGGTAGTAAGAGTGGGTAGGAGTACATAAGTTGCACATGTAAATAGAGGGTTGTTTTTCTTTTTTTTCAAGTACTGGAAAGTATGGATTTTTACTTTGTTGTTCATTTTGTTTTTTTAATCAATATTCCTTGTTTCATTGATTAATATTTGTATTTTTTTATTTACATGTTCAAAATAAAGATCTCAAATCAAATCAACATTTACCAGTGTTTGTTTAACAATGATTCTCTCAGATATTTGGATTTGAAGAGCATGCTAATTTTCAACTCATGTATAGTAAACCGGTTAATTTCACATGGTAGAAAGTATGTTAGTAGCATATATCGATAAAAGGATTTAGAAAACTGATCAAGGTCAAGTTTATTCCAAAAGCACCTTAAAACACCACAAATGTACAGGGGTGAGTTTCCCGTACAACGAGAACACTGCGCAGTTGAAGAAATGAACTAGTCACGAATGTTTCCCAAAACCGTACTGTTGCAAATTTGTCATTCCCTCATGATGGTTAAAGATGTCACACAGATGCTGGAGACTTTTTAATTAACTTTTTAAGCTAACTTTTTTTAATTAATCTGTTTTAGATGAAATTAATGCTCGTTTTTTGCTATATATTACGGACATGGCATCTAAAGACTAATTATCATTTTATCAGTTATTTTGCTTTATTTCCAGATTTAATTATAGGCTCTTCAAGAGCACCTCCGCACATGCAAACTCTTCCAAAATGACGCTTTAAATCCCTTGACAAACTAAAAGACGCGACTTACATTTTATATGTTCTAAATAAAAGATAAATTAAGCTGTCTTTCCAACCACACAAATTTGCAATGCTGTTGGCAAATGTTCATGGGAACTGTGGTTTTGGGAAACACTCACTCGTTGAACTATGCCGATAATGATGGAACATGTGACCATAGTTAGCTAACAATGCTTTTGGGAAACCCTCAATCATCAAATGTTTTTGCTAAACAATTTGTGTAAATACATTGAAAAAATATGAGCTTTACATACTAAAGTAATTCATCAAATCGTAAACAGTTGTAGCTTGTAGAAAAACAATGTAACCCCTCCACCCGGGTCCCACTCG